ATCCTCTGGGCAGGCTGGGCGGACCCCACCCGTTTACCTCTTAATGGTTTCACGTCCTCTTGAACTCTCTCTTCAAAGTTCTTTTCAACTTTCCCTACAGTACTTGTTGACTATCGGTCTCGTGCTGGTATTTAGCTTTAGATGGAGTTTACCACCCGCTTTGGGCTGCATTCCCAAGTAACCCGACTCCGGGAAGACCCGGGCCCAGTGTGCCGGGGGCAGCTACTGGCCTCACACCGTCCATGGGCTGGGCCTCGATCAGAAGGTGATATTTTCAAAGGTAGTGATCTTCCTAGATTCAAAGAGAAATTCCTTCAAACTCAGTGTCTTTTTACAGTTACAGTTTTCCTACGTGGGGCTTAGGCACTTGACCTAAAACCCAGCAGCCTGGGGGGGGGGCAGAAATTCTCAAGGTAATTAGGCCATGCCTGGATGGAGTAGAAGATTTAGGAGGCAGGCCAGGGGGCATTTTGAGTCCCACCCTCAAGATTGGCCAGATCCCATGCTCTCCCCGGTAGCCCGTATCTACTGAAATTCTGTCAAGGTGTCCCCTGTCCCGGACTTCAGCAGATGGATTAGAAGTCAGTCCTCTATGGGGCCAAGCCAGCGGTGGGACATCTCTGTCTGGACAGAGAGCTAGCCAGAGATCACAGAGACTGGGCCAACCCAGAGGAGGGAGGGAGAGCAAGGGAGGAGTTACTTACAGTTGGTTGACTGTGGTCTGTAGTCAGTCTGGGGCACCAGACAGGTTCAAGGAGTGAGGAGGCCTCAAACCCAGAAAGAGGAGGCGCCAACCTCAGCTCCCAGGTTTTGGCGCCAACTGCAAGGTGTCCAGTGCGTAACAAATCTTCCCAGGCAGACGAATCAATTAATTCACCGGCTTTTATTGGGGTTCTGCTCCCAGGCGAGGTTCCCTGGTCCCAACAGAGCAACAGAGCGGGGGCTGGGGAAGTCGCGTGTCAGAGATTGGGAGAACTCCTTTTATAGTTTCAGGGCATGGGGGTTAAAGGTAGAGGCGGGTCTGATCCTCATTGGTTGACCTTTAGGCACCCACAGGGACCTTGACAAGGATTTTTATTCCCCACAAGTACAGGTAGGGACTTCTCCATTCCCGGAAGTATAGGCCTTCCTTCCATGCAGATCCCAAAGCTACCATTTGTCTTGTGTGGTCTCTGAATTCTCTGCTCCCTTTGCTTGTGTTCAGCTGGTTTTGACAGAGATTACTCTTATGGTGAAAGTGAAAAAATGAGAAAGAGATGGAGACATATATACAATGAGAAAGAATGTGAGAGAGATAGAGATAGAGAGACAGAGACACACAGAGAGAGAAGGTAAAGGAAATAAAGAGAGAAAGAAAGGAAAAAAGAAAGAATGAGAAAAAGAGGAAAGAATGGAGCTGTGTTGGGGCATTCTTCATCTCATGCTTTAATTGTTAGTTAAACTGAACCCAGGTATCAGTCACAGGTGAAAGTTCAGGGTTTTCTCAAGTCTTTTTTTTTTAATTTAATTAATTTATTTGAAAAGCAGAGATATAGAGAGAGACAGAAACATCTTCCATCTGCTGGTTCACTCCTCAAATGCCTGCAATGGCTGGAGCTGGGCCAAGCCAAGGACAGGAGCCAGGAGCTTTTTCTGGGTGTCCCACATGGGTGCAGGGATCTAAGGACTTGGGCCATCTTCTGCTGCTACCCAACGCTCATTAGCTGAGAACTGGATCAGAAATGGAACAGCTAGGATTTGAACTGGTGCCATATGGGATGCCAGCGCTTAGGTGGAGGTTTAAACTTCTATGCCACAGCACCAGCTCCCATTTTTTTTAATAAAAAATTCATTTGCTTTCATTTTACTTGAATGGCAGAGAGAATGAGAGAGACAGAGACACCCAAAAACTGATTTTCTGTCCTCTGATTCACTCTTCAATTGCTCACAACAGCCAGACTTGTGCCAAGCTGAAGTAAGGATCATAAGACACAAAGAAGTTTTTCTGTGGGTGTCATGGACCCAAATACTTAAGGCTTCACCTATTGCCATGCAGGGCCTGCATTAGCAGGAAGCTGAAATTAGAAGTTGATCTGGGACATGAACAGAGGTACTACAATAAGGAATGTGAGTGTCCCATGTGACGTTTTAACCACTACACCCAGTGCCCACTCCTCCATGATTTTTTCTTTGAAAAGTGAAAAATTCCTTCATTTTTTATTCTTGACTGTATTCTCGCCATTTACAGGTCAATGCATTTGATATAATGAAAAAAATGACAAAGCTTCAACAGTTAAAAAACCTCAAGAATATACATCTAATTGATACCACATTGCATTAATCAACAGCTGAACTTTTGGCAAATTGTGGCTATGACAAGGTTTCCTATTTAAGCTGCAGTGACTTTTCTGACTGTGTGTCATTGTTCCTTCTGTGGCAGATTTTTTACTGTTGCTGATGCACCTGGGATGACTGTTTCAAACTAGCCTGCAACTTTCCCTATAACTTCTTGCACTCTCATGCTAAGAACTATAGCCCCTTTTTGCTGTTTTTTAGAACCTTCTACTACCTGATCCACCATTTCCACCACCAACTCCATAACCACCACCAAAGGGACTACCCAAGTTACTTCCTTCAAAACACCTTCTTTCATGGCTCTATAATTTATTGCTGCCATCCACTAAACTTCCAAAACCAATGTAGTTCCCACTACCATGATAGTAACCTCCAAAATATTCTTCCTTCATTGTAACCATCATATTTTCCTCTATCAGTTTCACCCCTTTGATTTCCATATCTTGTCCATCATAGTCTCCTCTGCTACTACAACCAGGACCACCAACATCATCTCCCAATCCATTGTATCCACCATAACCTTTTCTATAATATCCTCTGCTGTCATCACTTCCACCACAATTGCTTCCTCTTCCACCCAAATTTCTACCATGGCCAAAATTAGCCCTACCATCTCCAGAGTTTCCTCCATGACCCATAGAGTTGCCAGATCCCCCTCCATGGCCTCTTGATGATCCAATAGCAGACTTGATCTCTTGTTTTGTAAAGATCTTTTCCATCTCACAACTCTGCCAGCTAATAGCACAGTATTTCTGAATAACAATTTTATTAACTGTGTCAAGACCATTAAAAGTTACAAATGCAAATCATCTCTTTTCTCCAGTCTGCCTATTTTCACTAACTTCTATGGTTTTAATAGTTTCATACTTCTAAAAGTAGTCTCTCAAATTATGTTCTTCTGAGTGTTCTTTAATACCAGCAACAAAAATCTTCACTGTTAGGTGGGCACCAGGTTTTTATGAGCTCCTTTCTAGAAACAGCTGTCTTTGGTTCCATTCCATACCTATCAACCTTGTGTGGTTGAGCACACATTGCTGCATCTGCCTCTTGCACACAAGAGTAAGTCATGAAACCAAAGCCTCTGGAACATTTCATCTGGAGGTCTCTGAGTACCACACAATCTGGGAATGTTCCCCATTTCTCAAAACGTCTCCTTAATCTGTGGTTTCAAAGATCAGATCATTACCAGTTTCTCTGCTTCTTTGGAATCATGGACCTCCATATTCAGGTTGGATTTTCCTCACCCAACTCTAGTTTAACATATCCCTCAGTTCTTTTCTTAGTCTATGTCTGTCCAGGTTATGTTTGTAGTTTCATGAATTTCTCAGTATATGGGGGCACTTTTGAATGCCCTAATTGTCTATTTTCTCCCTAGCTCGTCTTCCCTGGATCTTAGTGCTCTATCGTGTATCTCAGTTGTAATATTTTGCTGCAGGTTGTCTATTTGCCTTACAAGGTTTTGAAGAAATGGTTGCTTCTTTTCCACCCTGAGTGAATTCTGAATTAGATGAAACAGTGACAAGTGTCTTGATCATCTTTAGGATGTTCTCAGACAGATTTAGATCAGAGGAACACCACCTCTTCTTCTGGAGCCATGGACCAGAATCTCATTAGGAACAAGGCTGCCCTTGCCAAGATCACTATCAATTCAAAGAGGGAGATAGGACAATGGCAAATATAAATGTCACAATGATTTTCTACCATTTTAAACTTATTTTTTTCTTACATTTAGCTTTCTATCATTGCTCTAAACCTTTGACTGTTGTCTAGAGTTCTGGTAATGTTGACTGAGACTGGTTTTGCTTGATTTCTCAAAATGTTTGTCAGGAAATCATACTTTTGAGCTATCTATTGTGACATTTTTGTCACATTGCAAAGTGAATATTTGACACTACAGTCTTGTCCATATTGTAGAGTAATGGAGTAGATACCTGGGAAATAGAGCTGATATCTTTATTTTATCGAGAACAGAATATAAGTGTCTGGAAATGGAGCTGGAATTCAAGCCCTTGGCTGATGGTTTTTCCATCAAACCTGAAAGCCCAGTTTCCAGGTAATCCTTGGGTGATTGTCCAACAGCATGCCCAAGGTCCTAAATGAGGATCCTAGGTTCTTATTTAAAAGCTTTTGCCACCCACATGCTTATGTACAATTCACCTTAGAGAACTCTTCATTATATTCTTTGGCTGAGATATCCTAATTAGGAATGTCAAGGAGGTTGAATGTTTGGGGGCACAGGTGCCACTGGGAAGCTCAGAATGGGTAGGTTTGTTTGACAAAGCAGGATTAACTGACAAAATGTTTGGTTTGGGATAGATGCCAAGCCTTCCTTCCCTCTGTGTTCATCTACAGAATGTGAATGATCACAATTCATGCCAGTCTATATTTTGAGGTTGTAGGGAAGAGTTGAGGTATAAAAATGAGAACTGACATAAAATAATGAGAAATGAATGAGAAAAGAGATTATTGTCATCTTTGATCATGGGGCCAAGATTTTCTACCTTATACCTCTCTGTCAGCACCAAGGATTAATTTACCTAAACATTCAAATGCTGCTGCTTGAAGTAGAAGTATTTCCTTTACTATAGTTTTAAAACAGAGGTTTGTGTGTTGTGTTGTGTATATGTCATCAATAAATGTGCTTAATTTAGCAATTTTTTTTTAAGGTCTGCAATATTTTTCCAATTCTTATGGATTATCTCCCAGGGACTCACAAAACAGTATTTGAAAATTTTGATTATGTAAGAAATTTTGTTTTGGAGAAAACAAAAGAACATCAAGAATCTCTGGACATTAACAACCCTCGAGACTTTATTGATTGTTTCCTGATCAAAATGAAACAGGTAAAATGTTATTTATTTGCATTCTGTGGATTATTGATAATTTCTGTATTTGTTGAGGCTATCCGAATGTTCAGATAAGAAATATGTGGCCAGCACTATAAGTACCTGCTGTGCTTATGGATCTTGACTAAGCATTGTAGAAAGTTAAAATGAATTGTTAAACAGCTAGAATATATGGGCTGTGTTTTAGATAATAATTATCTGAGGCCACACAGAATATACACACTTTAGTTAATATGGAAATCAAATAAGTTAAAAAATTTAAAAAAAATCAAACCATAAAGTGAATGTAATCATGTTAATATCCTACAGAATGTGGGAGAATGAGAATCAAGGTTTTAATCTAGCTAGGTTTCCTGCATGTCTTGAGGTTTCATTAAAAAAAGTTATTTGAACAGCTGGTGCTGTGGCATAGTAGGTTAAGCCTCCAACTGCAGTGCTGGCATACCATATGTTTTTTGGTTCTATTTCTGGCTGCTCCACTTCTGATCTAGCACCCTGCTAATGTGCCTGGGAAGATGGTCCAAGTGCTTGGACCACTGTGCCCACATGGGAGAGCCAGAAGAATATGCTACAGGTTTTAAACAGATTTTTAAGATAATTAAAAAACATTTACTAACATATGTATTGCAAAAATGTGATTGATTTAATAGAGGATCAAATTCTAAATTAAAACTACATTTTTTAAATAAGGTAACACATCAGATTTCAGCCTTAGTTACTTTTAAGCAGTGTTGAACTATTTTTCATGGACAGTTTATGAAAATATGTTTGTTAACAAACCCAACTAGTTTTTCTATAAAATTTTGGTTGCTGAGAGTACCAAAGTTTACATTTAGACACATTTATCTCATTTGCCTTTACCCAATTTACATTTAGCAGTTATACCTAAATGACTTAAGATGATGATATTGTATTATATCTCCATCTGAATTAAGGCCAAAATTTAATTCATATGGAATTCTACCCTTTTTATAAAACTCTAGCTATAAATCAATGACATTAAACCAGAGATTGCAAAATCTACTTTAGGGACTGTAACAAGTATTGATTACCCATTACTGTTTCATCAAGTACTGATTACCCATTGCTATATCATTGGAACCTGTTAAAACAAATTGCAAAATAAGTTCAGTAAGTTACAAAACAATATTTTTATTTATCTTATTTAAATTTTAAAAAGATTCATTTATTTATTTGAAAGTCAGAGTTACACAGAGAGAGGAAAGGCAGAGAGAGAGGGAGGTCTTCCATTTGCTAGTTCACTCCCCAGTTGGCCACAATGGCTGAAGCTGCACTGATCCGAAGTCAGGAGCCGGGAACTTCTTCCGGGTCTCCCATGTGGATGCAGGGGCCCATGGTCTTGGGCCATTTTCCACTGCTTTTCCAGGCCATAGCAGAGAGCTGGATTGGAAGTGAAGTAGCCAGGACTTGAACCAGCGCCCTAATGGGAAGCCGGCACTTCAGGCCAGGGTGTTAACCTGCTGTGCCACAGCACCGTCCCCATGAAGCAATATTTTTAAAGGCAGTGATCTTCCCGGATTCGAAGAGAGAAATTTCTTCAAACTCAATGTCTAGTTACAGTTGCTTTTTTATCCTAAGAACAACTTAGACCAATGATGCCCTAGTCAACAGTCAGCCACTTGGGACTGTCTCTGAAACAAATGTTCAGGCAGCTGGCAGACAGTTCTCAAAGGTGACTGTGGGCCAGGGGTTGCTGTGCCAATGGCACTGGAGTGGAGGTCAAAAGACATGATATTCCTGTCTGGCTTGTTTGTGGTGAAACAAAAGAGCCATCAAAGGGTAGGATACCTAATTTGTTTTGCAGTAAACAGGGAACTCAGAAGGATGGGATCACCACTCCCTTGCTATTTTTAAGGTAAAATTGGTACAGGAGGGGGAGGGGCAAAGACTAGTTGGAGGACAAGGGCTGGAGGTTGAAAGCATAGAGACAACCATTCCCAAACTTGCCCTTGCTTCTCCGTGAGGATCACTGGTAAGACAGGAGGATTAGTCTAGGTTATAATTATTTTTATTTTTGTTGTAGAGATCTTTCACTTCTTTGGTTAAATTTATTCCTAAATAGTTATTTTTTTGTGGTGAGCATTTCTTTCTCTCTCTCTAATTCTGAATTAAAATAAAGAAATCTATTTTTAAAAAGATTGGTTGATTTATTTGAAAGGAAGTTTACAGAGAGGCAGAGGCAATGAGAGAGAGAGAGAGAGAGAGAGAGAGAGAGAGAGAGAGGTCACTCTTCCATCCACTGGTTCACTCCACAGATGGCTGGAACAGCTGCAGCTACGCCAATCTGAAGCCAGGAGCCAGGAAATTCCTCCAGGTCTCCCACATGGGTACAGGAGCCCAAGGTCTTGGGCCATCTTCTACTGCTTTCTCAGGCCATAGCGGAGAGCTGGATAGGAAGAGGAGCAGCTGGGACACGAACTGGTGCCCATATGGGATGCTGGCACTGCAGGTGGTGGCTTCACCCGCTATGCCACAGCACCTGCCCCAGCCATTTGCCACTTTAAAATGAGTCAATTTATTTTTATATCATTGAGTAGATTTCCTTATATATTTTGAATAATAGTTCCTAACCCAATGTATCATTCAAACTTCTCCCAGTGTGTGAATTGTTTCTGTTTTTGGTGATCACTAGGAGATAAAGATGTGCTTTGTCCTGTAGGTGCTACAAGATAGTAAAGATAGAAGATAGACTATGTAGTTGCAGCTGAACACATAGGGGTGTTGATGTATATTCCAGTTCCTTCTGTCCTACCAGTAGAGCTGAGATTGGGTGTTTGTCTTTCACCCTTTCCACTTTTCCAGGGAGAGGATTTGTAGTAAATATCTGCACTCGTGTTCTGACTGCTCCCTATGATCCTTGGGAGATAATTGCTGGATATGAATCCGTTTTATTTATATGTTTTTCTTTTCTGTGATCCAAGGAAAATCAGGAATGAAAAGATCCATAAACTTCTAGAAATGGGTAGCTGAGGATGCAGTGAGAACCAAAAAAATGTGGCACTCAAGTGCTTGGATGAGCCCTTACAGGATGAATGGGTACACCTGTAGATATCATTGGAGAACTTTGGGGAAGGAGGCTAGGGGAATGTCAAACTCTGCTCAGGATTCCCGAGGTTTGCTTTGTTGTTCTGTTAGCTTCATGACACAGGCTCACTAGAAACTCTTCTGTCAACAGTGATGTCACTGATGGTATATTCTAGCATAGGGAGAAATTTGGATCTTTATGTTTTATCCCCTGCCCTAATCCAGGAGGATGAAGCCGGTGGGAGTGTATGCATCCCTGTATAAAACTGCCACTTTTTTTGGGTGAGATCTGGAAACCCAGGAATACCGTTTCTCCAAGAGTTAGTGAGTTAAGAGTCAAACCATGGGAAAGCTTTGTGTTAGGGCATTGCGTGTTTCTTCCTCGGGAAGAAGCTCAATTTTGGGCTGGCGCCACGGCTCAATAGGCTAATCCTCTGCCTGTGGTGCTGGCACACCGTGTTCGTGTTCTAGTCCTGGTCGGGGCACTGGATTCTGTCCCGGTTGCCCCTCTTTCAGGCCAGCTCTCTGCTGTGGCCCAGGAGTGCAGTAGAGGATGGCCCAAGTCCTTGGGCCCTGCACCCCATGGGAGACCAGGAGAAGCACCTGGCTCCTTGCTTCGGATCAGTGCGGTGCGCCGGCCGCAGCGGCCATTGGAGGGTGAACCAAGGGCAAAGGAAGACCTTTCTCTCTCACTGTCCACTCTGCCTGTCAAAAAAAAAAAAAAAAAGAAAAAAGCTCAGTTTTTGTGATTCCTTCTGGATTGTATGACACAGTGCATGGGGTGGGATTAATATCTGAGTTTACCATAGCTGTTTCCACCAGCTTGATGTGGATATTTTTCCAGTGGCCATATATGTTGGGTCTCTCGACTTACCTAGTTTTCTCTCATAGGGAATTAATTGGTGAGTTTGTTTATTTAGAGTATCCACAGATGGAGGGAGGCTGAGAAGCTTCTACCATGTTGGTATCCCATTCTAAAAATTGCAGTCTCTTGATTCTAGCTTATAGCATTTTTCTCCATGTGGTCTTAATTTTCCTATTTCATTGGATTAAGATTTTTGTCTGAAAACAAATAAATGAAAGTTCAATTAAAATATCTTCTAAAACAGTGTGTTTATCTGGCATTCAGGGAGTCTAATGTTGGTTAGTTCAGAACTTGCACCATAGACCTGAACTCATGGACTCAGGTGCCTGGCATTTTTTAAAAAAGATTTATTTATTTTGCTTGAAAGTTTGAATTACACAGAGAGAAGGAGAGGCAGAGAGAGAGAGAGAAAGGTCTTCCATCTGCTGAGAATGTAGCAATTGGCCGCAACAGCCAGAGCTGCGTTGATCCGAAGCCAAGAGCCAGGAGCTTCTTCCGGGTCTCCCATGTGGGTGTAGGGGCCCAAGGGCTCAGGCCATTTTCCTCTGCTTTCCCAGGCCATAGCAGAGAGCTGGATTGCACTCATATGGGATCCTGGCACTGCAGGTGGCAGCTTTACCTGCTACGCCACAGCACCAGCCCCTTGGCATTTTTTTTTTTTTTTGTCACTACACTTAGTCCATGTTCTTTCCCAGTGATGCTGAAATACTCATGTTCCTAAATGATATCTATACCATCTCCCCTGTCATATACTCATATCTGTTTTGATAAACAGGGATAAAAGAGGGTGTGACATCAGTATCTTGCTTCTAATGTTACTGATGAGAAACATTTCAGTTGGCCAACACAACTATAAAAGGGACTTGGAAGTGAAATTTTAAGGCAAGCGTGGGATAATCAGTTAATGAAAAGAAAAGATTGGGTGAATTAATCTACATTCTGTGCCATACATGTTATTGTTATAGTATTTTTGAAAAAAAAAACTTTTAATCTTAGAATAGTTTTAAATTTACAAAACAAAAACTGTGAAGTAGTATAAGGGTTCTCATTACTTCATGGTCAGGTTTCCCTGTTGTGAACATCTTATATTACTATGATATATTTGCCACAATCTTTAAACCACACCAAATTTTTCCTACTATTAACATCTCCCATGTTAGCACGAAATACTTGTTATCCTTGATGGACCACACCAAGCTTCCTTTACTTTTTTTTAGAAAAAAGATTTATTTATATTTGAAAGAGAATTACAGAGAGAGGAGAAGAGAGAGAGAGAGAGAGGCCAGAGAGAGAGAGAGAGAGAGAGGAGAAAGAGGAGAGAGGGAGAGAGATCTTCCTTCTACTGGCTCATTCCCCAATTATTCTGCAATTACCAGGGCTGGGGCAGGCCAATGCAAGGAGCCAGGGGCTTCATACAGGTCTCCCACAAGAATGCAGGGGTCCAAGTTCTTGGGCTGTCCTCTGCTGCTTTCCCAGGTGCATTAGTATGGAGCTGGATTGGAAGTAGAGTATCCAGGATATTAACTGCTATCTATATGGGATGCCAGTATCTCAGGCAGCAGCTTTTACACACTATGCCACAATACTGGAGTATCCCTTACTTTTTTTTTTTTTTATTTGACAGGTAGAGTTATGGACAGTGAGCGAGACAGAGAGAAAGGCCTCCCATTGGTTCACCCCTGAAATGGCTGCTACAGCTGGTACTGCATTGATCTGAAGCCAGGAGCCAGGTGCCTCTTCCTGGTCTCCCATGTGGGTGCAGGGCCCAAGCACCCAGGCCATTCTCCACTGCCCTCCCAGGCCACAGCAGAGAGCTGGACTGGAAGAGGAGCTACCAGGATTAGAACCCCGCACCCATATGGGGTGCTGGCGCCGCAGGTAGAAGATTAACCAAATGAGCCATGGCGCTGCCCTTACCTTACTTTTTTCAAATCAAAACTCCTCTATTTGTCTTGCCTCTTCCCATACTTTTTTTTGGTTCACATTGAGTTTTTTTGGTTTTGTTTTGTTTTTAGCTTCCATATATGAGTGACGACATGCAATGTTTGTCTCTGTATGTCTAACTTGTTTGACTCACCATGATGTGCTCTAGTTCCATGCAGTTGAGATAGTTTTAATACTGCCCTTTCCACTTTGTAAATTTGGTAGTCTTTACGGAAACCTGAGTTCTTTTAGATTGACTGTGATGAAATATGCTGGCAAAATATCAAATAATCAAATAATTCCTAGGAAAAGCACAACCAACAGTCTGAATTTACCATTGAAAACCTGATGGCCACAGTGACTGATGTGTTTGCTGCTGGAACAGAGACCACAAGCACCACCCTGAGGTATGGACTCCTGCTCCTGATGAAGCACCCAGAGGTCACAGGTAAGTTCATGATGAATGCACAAGGCTGATATCAGCAGGTGTAGGGAAGCCAGTGCTGGTGCCCTCCCTCTTGTTTCTCTTAGAGAAGCTTCATCATTGAAATTCTGTGCTACCAGCTGTAATTTGTACAACTGTGATCAATGGATAACAATGAGAGAGATGTGCACAATAGGGGATAGTGACTGAGAGCAGTGAGGATCGTGTGAGCAGTAGTAAAATTCATAACTCTGGGCTGGTGACGTCATATCTAGATAAGGTGTCTGGGCTCCATGGGAAGGGGTTTGCTGCAGGCACAGACATCATGAACTGACCTGGGACTATCTGCTTGTTTTTTCCTGAAGAACGGAACACTTTGAATTGTAGATTTTTTTCACAGATCTCTCATTATTCTGAAAATGTATTCTTACGCTGGGGCAAGCAAACCTATGACTGAAAGTTTATTTATTGAAATATAGAAGATATGCCAGAGATTTGAGGAGATGACCTGAGAAAATTTCCACACTCTGGGAATTATATTCAAAGATTAAGTTTATAAGAAAATTGTACACAATTTGGCAGAAGTTGTGCCTAAGGAATTCATGAATCCAGGAATCTGAGTCCAGGAAAGCATTTGCCTATATTTTTATCTTTTGCAAACCATTTTTAAAATATTTATTTTATTTACCTTTAAGCAAGTTAACTACTCAGATTATGTTTTTCTGGTTAGGAACTCCATTGAAATGATGATAAATTAATTGCAGATGAGAATTCTTCCTGTTAAAGTACTTTACTGTACATCTGAAGCACACAGAGCAGATGGAGGCGTGATACCCAGTTCTCTAGAGAGCCTGAAGTTCCAGCCTAAGTGCCATAAAAAGATTCATCCTGAATGAGCAGGCAGTCTGTGCCCCCACACTTCCCCCCGCCCAACCCTTGGGAAGAAGAGAGTCCCAGAAGGTATAGAGAGGTAAAGCAGAAAACAGGAGGCTCTCCCTGTCCTGGTTCCATCCTCATCTCAACTCGTCTGAGAGCTGTTGTCTCCCACAGGGAAGGAAGTTGTGTTCTCCAGAGAAACTGAACCTAAGAGGCCCAGCATAGGGACATCAGTCAGAGCCAGGGAAGGAGGGAGGTGCAGGGCAGACAAAGGCCCCTGGAACGTGGATGCCCTCAGCCACTTTGTGCGTCTTGTCCCTGTAACCCAGCAGCCCTGTGTAAACAGTAGAGAAGGAGTAGCACCAGCGAAAAGACATCCATTTATTGCCATCGAGATAGAAAGTTCTCGCCAAATGCCCATAAACTGAATGAAATGAAAATATCCACCCCAGATGCAGGGCCATGGAATTCCAGAACACGAGGATTAAAAGGTAAATACTAAAGCCATTCAGAGGCAAATGAAGTCATATATTAAGACTGAGTATGAGAATGGCCTTAGATTCCTTGAATAGCTCTCATCTTGTGTATTGTTGTGTTTTGACACCTACAGATTGACAAATAATTCATTTTCAGACAGATACTAGAGGTTGTGTTCCATGCAAGTATTTGAAACCAAATGATAGAAAGTCTTGGGCACCAGAATCAGGAGAGCTCATAGGCAGGGTGAGGGATGGTGATGGACAGCAGACCTGGAAGCAATTCACAGTGGACCTGGGGACAATGTGGGTGTGAAGGGAGACACCAAGGACAAAACAGAAGTGATTGTTTATTTGTGGTTCTCAATAATTAGAGAAAATTAATATTAGACATTTGCAACACACATGAGCATTTGTAAGAATTCTAAATTAGCATCTGAAATTAGGAATTAAAATGATCACTTTATTTATATATATTTTTAGATTTATTTATTAATTTGAAAGGCAGAGTTACAGAGAGGCAGAGGCAAAGAGATATCTTCCACTTGTTGGTTTACTCCCTAAATGGCTGCAACAGCTGATACTGGGCTGCTCAACAGCCAGGAATCTGGAGTTTCTTCCAGGTTTCCCACATGGGTGCAGGAGCCCAAGGGCTTGGGCCATCCTCCACTGCCTTCCCAGGCCATAGCACAGAGCTGGATCAGAAGTGGAGCAGCTAAGACTTGAACCTGATGCCCGTATGGGATGCTGGCATTGTAGGCAGTGACCTTACCTGCTACATCACAGTGCAGGCCCCTAAAATATACACTTTAAGCATGAATGTACAAAAAGATGAAACATGATCATAATTGCCTTATCCATAACCAAATTATTGTAAATCATAATGTACATGTGTGTCTATAGGTGGGTATCTTTGTGTATTTTGTATGAGATGGTGATGGGGAGATTTGTCCTCATATCTTACAAGCAAGTTTCAGAATATTTTAAAATAGTTAAAATCAAGAATTAGAGTCATTATTTAAAAATGTGAATGCAATCCTCAGAAGTCTAAAAGTAGATACTGTATGATCCTGGTATTCCACATCTGAGTATCTGTTGAAAGGAAATTGACCCAGCATATCCAAAAGGTACCTAAAGTCCTATTGTGTTGCTGCACTATTTATAATATCTTAAATATGGAATCCACCTTGATGCCCATCAACAGTTTAATGGATACAGAAAATGTGATACACACATGATGAAATGTTATTCAGCCTTAAAAAAGAATATCTTTTATTTTATTTTTAAAGATTTATTTATTTATTTGAAAGAATTACAGATCATTTATCTGTTAGTTCACTTTCTAAGTGGCCACAATGGCCAGTGCTAGACCATGCTGAAGCTAGGAGCCAGGAACTTCAGCCAGGAGTCTTGCATGGTTGCTGGGGCCCAAGCGTGTGGGCCATCTTCTACTGCTGTAACCAAGCCAATAGCAGGGAGTTGGGTTGGAAGTGGAGACCTGGATGAAGCAACTGGCTCCAGGCTATGGCTTGGCCCAGCCATGGATGTTGCAGTCATCTAGGGAGTGAACTAGTGGATGGAAGATCTCACTCTATTTCTCTCTCTCTCTTTCCATCTCTCTCTGTCTCTCCTTCTCTCTCTGTAACTCCAACTTTTAAATAAATAAATAAATAAATAAATACATCTTATTTAAAAAAACAAGGATGTTATAATGGTTGAACAAGAATATATATATAGATTGTTTGGTACAGAGTAGGACTTAAAATTTTTACTTAAATTTTACTACTTTATATAAATCATGGGATTAGTGTTTTATCAAGAGAATGAAATCTATGTATTACTGTGTAATCATAAATATGTGCATTTCTAAAAATATGTTATTTTCATAGAAAAAATTGAAATCCGTGCATAGTCTTTCATAATAAGAGTTTTCCATGAACTTTTTGAGCTTCTTCACCTGTGCCTATAACACAGTGATTCTTTCTGTAGGTTCTGTGTACTATGATCATTTAGGACTGCTTGGACAACTTCACCTGCTTCACTTAGCCCTCACCTGCTATGAGAAATGTGCCGTGTTCTCCTATTCAAGATTTCTTACTTGTGTCTTCTCAGCTAAAGTGCAGGAGGAGATCGAGCGTGTGATTGGCAGACACCGAAGCCCCTGCATGCAGGACAGGAGCCGCATGCCCTACACGGATGCCACGGTGCACGAGATCCAGAGATACATTAACCTCGTCCCCAACAACGTGCCCCATGCAACAACCTGTAACGTTAAATTCAGAAACTACTTCATCCCCAAGGTAAGTTTATTTCTTCTGCACTGCATATCTATGCTTTTGTTGTTTCCAAACAAGAGTCTAGCACCATTCCTCTACTGGCACAATATGAGAGCAGCACAAAACTCTTATGCTGGGTAGCTGTGTAGGCTTTCTGCTGTTTGTGGTTTGAGGCTGTTAAAAACTGGATAGAGGCTAGCACTGTGGCATAGTGGGTGAAACCATTGTCTGCCACACTGGCTCCCACATGGGTGCAGCTTAACCTACTATGCCACAGTGCCGGCCCCTGCATAACACATCTTGATCTCTGGAGCCTTACAAATTTTGTTCTGTTTTTATAATAGGTTTGCTATTTTTAGGTGCTTAAATTTCTAAATAAGTGTTAAAAGTGCCAACCATTGATTTGTTCTCCAAATGCCTGCAATGGCCAGTCCTGGGTTGAACTTGGGAGCTGTGAATATAGCCTGTGTCTTCCACATGGATGGCAGGAACTGCTATTTCAGCCATCAACAGTACCTTCTAGGATATGTACTAGCAGGAAGTTTGATTCAGGGGGTGGAGCTGGGAACTAACCCCTGATACTCCAATGTGGGATGCAGGTGTCTTAACTGCTGGGTTAAGCACAATGTTTCTGTTCTTATTGTGCCCGTTAGTTCTGTCTAATGGAGTGCCTAATATGCATTGGTTAAATGCTAGGTGTAACATATGAAAAAATTCAGTCTCTTCTGAGGTTCATTTCTCTCTCTCCCTCTCTCTCTCTTTTTTTTTTTTTGACAGGCAGAGTGGTCAGTGAGAGAGAGAGACAGAGAGAAAGGTCTTCCTTTTGCCGTTGGTTCACCCTCCAATGGCCGCCATGGCCGGCGCTGATCCGAAGGCAGGAGCCAGGTACTTATCCTGGTCTCCCATGGGGTGCAGGGCCCAAGGACTTGGGCCATCCTCCACTGCACTCCCTGGCCACAGCAGAGAGCTGGCCTGGAAGAGGGGCAACCGGGACAGAATCCGGCTCCCTGACCGGGACTAGAACACGGTGTGCCGGCTCCGCAAGGCGGAGGATTAGCCTAGTGAGCCACGGCGCCAGCTCATTTCTCTTTTACTAGGCAGACAGATTGATGTAACACCACTTGATTATTCAGGACTGGAAATACAGACAGTCAGGTATTGATTGTAGATGTCAGCTTACTTCTCTGGGGTTCTCTCATCTGAAATACTTATATCATTTGTCTTTTTAAAAAAATATTTTAGAGGCTGAGAGATAGTAAGAGTGAAGAGAGAGAGAGAGAGAGTTCCTATTTTCTGGTTCATTCCCCTAATGCCTGGGAAGACTGGTTTGTGCAGCTGGAATTGCCATCCAAAAGCCTCCCGTGTGGGTGGGAGAAGCACAATCACTTGCATGAGTCATTACTTCTGCCAGGCTGAGCATTAGCAGAAATCTGAATTTAGGAGCTGGAGTTGGGAATGGGACCTAGGTATTTTGATATGGGATATATGTGTTTTAAGTGCTAATTGCACCCTGCTAGGGTTTTGTTTAGTAATAGAGGGCTAGAAATCTTTCATCCTCAATGCTACAACACTAAAACCTGGAACTTCTTAAATATTTTATTTAAGTTATACAAGTTTCATATATTTCACATACACAGATTTAGGAACAGAGAACACATCCACATCACCACTCTTGATTTTTACAAAGATTTATTTTCAGTATACGTAATGATTCTATAGTTAACCCTACTCTAAGTAAAAGAGTTCAACAGGCTGGCACTGCAGCTCACTAGGCTAATCCTCTGCCTCCGGCGCCGGCACTCCGGGTTCTAGTCCCAGTTGGAGCGCTGGTTCCGTCCTGGTTGCTCCTCTTCCAGTGGCGCGGGAGTGCAGTGGAGGATGACCCAACGCGGGAGTGCAGTGGAGGATGACCCAAGTGTTTGGGCCCTGCACCTGCATGGGAGACCAGGAGGAAGCACCTGGCTCCTGGCATCGGATCAGTGCAGCGTGCTGGCTGTGGTGGTCATTTGGGGGGGGTGAACCAACGGCAAAAGGAAGACCTTTCTCTCTGTATCTCTCTCTCACTGTCTAACTCTGCCTGTCAAAAAAAAGTTCAACAAATAGAATGAAGAGGGGGAAAAAAAACCCCTCTGTTCCTCAATGGGGAATATCTATTGCATTATAAAGTAAAATATCCTAAAGTGCAAGAATTCAAATTCTTCATATCTGCTCTATGCTTGAGAATGTGAAAAGGGAGTAATTTCTGAAAAATTTGTCATTACTAAATTGCTTCTAAAGGAATCAAATTTCAAACTATGGACGTGCTCATCAGTAATGTCAAGGCACATTCAGACTGTATAGCTGAGTAAAGACATATGTATATGTGTTTGTACTGGATAATATCCAAATTAGTTTAGTCTACACACAAATCAAAGTGTAGTGCATGCTGTCCTTTGGGTTTAGAATAGAGAAAATTGAGAAGTGGCGTGATCATACTTATCTGCCTAATGAAAATGATATGCATGTTATCTTTGGAAGAGCACATTTCCTAGAAGGTAAAAAACTAGTTTTTGGAATGGCTATTTCTGGGTATTTTAGATGTGTTTGTGTGCTTATATGAGAATGAGACGTGCTTTTCACTGTATTTTTTGTGACATAATATATCATTTCATTTTATTTTAAAATATTTAGCACATAAAATTTAACATATTACGTGAAATCACATGATGTTTTGATACATATGTAATGTCCAAATCAGGGTAAATATGTGTATCTCCTCAAACATTTGAAAACATTCAAAATCCTTTCTTCTGTTTTTTTAAATATACAGTTTTATTTTTCTCTATAGTCACCCTACTGTACAATAGAATATTGGAGCTTGATACCCTAGCCATATTGAATTTCTGTTTTATTTATAAAATTCAGCTTAAAATTATTTCCATCTTATCGCTCCCCCTCTTCGTGGAGGAATGACACAGGACCCTGCGTTGTTCTTTCGTCTGCTCGGCCCTCCCCGGGTTTGCTGCTGGTTCTTCCCGGGTTGGCTACCGTCCCTTCCACCTCCGTGGAAGGGCAGTTCCCCCTGCCACATTCCCCACTTCCGCGAGGGAGCGGCACACCGCCGGCCGGCTCTCTCGGGGGCTGCACAGGTGTTCCCTCAGATGTTCCCCTTAGATGTTCCTGGTGCATGTTGTCTCTCTCCTCCTTTATAGTCCTCTTCCACCAATCCCAACTCTGCTACCCACACGCCAAGTACGCTGCTCTCCTCCAATCAGGAGCAGCTCCTGCAGCTTGTCAAGTTGGTGAGAGGCAGCTGGGTAGAAGCTGTTACTTCCTCTCCCAGCGCCATATTGTGGGAGAGCAGATGCATAGAATAAGTCTTAATTCCAGTAACTTAGTCTAGTCCGAGTAGCTCCCCACACATCTCTTCTAAATATCTCTTGGATTATTGAATCATTTCCCTGTATTTTGCTAAAACTCATTGAATTTCCATGAAAAAGCTGTTGAATTCCTCATGTGAGAATCTTCAGATTTTAACATTATCTAGTTGGTTTCTTTCATTTTATTCCTTACATGGCATCATAGTTCCCTGAAACTTCTTGATCCTTGTTCACATATGATATCATCTGAGCATTAGTCCCTTCTAACCAAGAACCATTCTTTTTCCTCTAATATATTAGAAGAGTCCAGGCCACCTTTCAGACAGAACATTTCTCATTCTAGCTTTGTGTGAATGTTTAGTTGGAGACTAGAGATGTGTTTTGGGCAAGAATATTACACAGGTAGTGTTGTGTACGTCACACCATGACTTGGGGGACGTAATTTCAGTTTGTTGCAGCATTGGTGTTGCTAAGGTCTTCTTTGGTGGGGATGACTGCGAGATTTCACCACTGCTGAGATTTATTTTTTTCATATGCAATTAATAAATAAAACCTATGTTATGAGACTTTAAGTCTACATGAATATTATATTTCCCAAATGGAAATTCAGCTATTAATTATTATTTTTTAACTTTTATTTAATGAATATAAATTTCCAAAGTATGGCTTAATGATTCCCATGGCTTTCCCCCCCAATAATTTCCCTCCCACCTGAAACCCTCCCCTTTCCCGCTCCCTCTCCCCTTCCATTCACATCAAGATTCATTTTCAGTTCTCTTTATATACAGAAGATCAGTTTAGCATATATTAAGTAAAGATTTCAACAGTTTGCACCCACACAGAAAAACAAAGTGAAAAATACTGTTCGAGTACAAGTTATAACATTAAATCACAATGTACAGCACATTAAGGACAGAGATCCTACATGAGGAGTAAGTACACAGTGACTCCTGTTGTTGACTTTACAAATTGACATTCTTGTTTATGACATCAGAAATCACCCTAGGCTCTTGTCATGAGTTGCCAAGGCTATGGAAGCCTTTTGAGTTTGTCGACTCTGATCATATTTAGACAAGGTCATAGTCAAAGTGGAGGTTCTCTCCTCCCTTCAGAGAAAGGGACCTCCTTCTTTGATGACCTGTTCTTTCCACTGGGATCTCACTCACAGAGATCTTTTATTTAGGTCATTTTTTTTTCCAGTGACTTGGCTTTCCATGCCAGAAATACTCTCATGGGCTCTTCAGCCAGATCCGAATGTCTTAAGGGCTGATTCTGAGGCCAGAGTGCTGTTTAGGACATCCGCCATTCTATGAGTCTGCTGTGTATCTTGTTTCCCATGTAGGATTGTTCTCTCCCTTTTTGATTCTATCAGTTAGTATTAGCAGACACTAGTCTTGTTTGTGTGATCCCTTTGACTCTTAGTCCTATCAAAATGATCAATTGTGAACAGAAATTGATCACTGGGACTAGTGAGATGGCACTGGTACATGCCACCTTGATGGGATTGAATTGGAATCCCCTGCTATGTTTCTAACTCTACCGTTTGGGGTAAGTCAGCTTGAGCATGTCCGAAATTGTACATCTCGTCCCTTATTCCCACTCTTATATTTAACAGGGATCACTTTTCAGTTAAGTTTCAACACTTAAGAATAACTGTGTATTAATTACAGAATTCAACCAATAGTATTAAGTAGAACAAACAAAAAAATACTAGCAGGCATAAAGTATTACGTTGCTCATCAACAATCAGGGCAAGGGCTGATCAAGTCACCGTTTCTCATAGTGTCCATTGCACTTCAACAGGTTTCCTTTTTTGTGCTCGGTTAGTTGTCACCTATCAGGGAGAACATATGATATTTGTCCCTTTGGGACTAGCTTAATTCACTCAGCATAATGTTTTCCAGATTCCTCCATTTTGTTGCAAATGACTGGATTTCATTTTTTTTACTGCTGTATAGTATTCTATAGAGTACATGTCCCATAATTTCTTTATCCTTTCTACTGTTGATGGGCATTTGGGTTGATTCCAGGTCTTAGCTATTGTGAATTGAGCTGCAATAAATATTAAGGTGCAGACCGCTTTTTTTGTTTGCCAATTTAAATTCCAAGGAGTGGTATGGCTGGGTTGTATGGTAGGGTTATATTCAGGTTTCTGAGGAATCTCCAGACTGACTTCCATAGTGGCTTAACCAGTTAACATTCCCACCAACAGTGGGTTATTGTCCCATTTTCCCCACATCCTCTCCAGCATCTATTGTTGGTAGATTTCTGAATGTGAGCCATTCTAACTGGGGTGAGATGGAACCTCATTGTGGTTTTGATTTGCATTTCCCTGATTGCTAGTGATCTTGAACATTTTTTCATGTGTCTGTTGGCCATTTGGATTTCCTCTTTTGCAAAATGTCTATTGAGGTCCTTGGCCCATCTCTTAAGTGGGTTGTTTGTTTTGATGTTGTGGAGTTTCTTGATTTCTTTGTAGATTCTGGTTATTAATCCTTTATCTGTAGCATACTTTGCAAGTATTTTGTCACATTCTGTCGGTTGTCTGTTCACTCGCCTCTTTCTTTTGCAGTACAGAAACTTCTCAACTTGATGCAATCCCAATAGTTAATTTTGGCTTTGACTGCCTGTGCCTCTAGGGTCTTTTCCAGAAAGTCTTTGCTGGTTCCAATGTCTTGCAGGGTTTCTCCAATGTTCTCTAATAATTTGATGGTGTCAGGTCGTAGATTTAGGTCTTTAATCCATGTTGAGTGGATTTTTGTGTAAGGTGTAAGGTAGGGGTCTTGCTTCATGCTTCTGAATGTGGAAATCCTTTTTTCCCAGCACCATTTATTGAATAGACTCTCCTAGCTCCAGGAATTGGTTTTAGATGCTTGATCAAATATAAGTTGGCTGTAGATGTTTGGGTTGATTTCTGGTGTTTCTATTCTGTTCCATTGGTCTATCCATCTGTTTCTGTACCAGTACCATGCTGTTTTGATTACAACTGCCCTGTAATGTCCTGAAATCTGGTATTGTGATGTCTCCGGCTTTGTTTTTGTTGTACAAATTTGCTTTAGCTATTCGAGGTCTCCTGCATCTCCATATGAATTTCAGCATCATTTTTTCTAGTTCTGAGAAGAATGTCTTTGGTATCTTGATTGGTATTGCATTGAATCTATAAATTGCTTTTGGTAGAATGGACATTTTGATGATGTTGATTCTTCCAATCCATGCATGGGACATTTTTCCATTTCTTGGTATCCTCTTCTATTTCTTTCTTTAAGATTTTGTAATTCTCATTGTAGAGATCTTTAACGTCCTTGGTTAAGTTTATTCCAAGGTATTTGATTGGTTTTGTAACTATTGTGAATGGGATTGATCTTAGCAGTTCTTTCTCAGCTGTGGCATTGCCTTTGTATACAAAGGCTGTTGATTTTTGTGCATTGATTTTATATCCTGCTACTTTGCCAAACTCTTCTATGAGTTCCAATATTCTCTTAGTAGAGTTTTTGGATCCCCTTAATAAAGAATCATGTCGTCTGCAAAGAGGAATGGTTTGAGTTCTTCCTTCCCAATTTGTATCCTTTTAATTTCTTTTTCTTGCCTAATGGCTCTGGTTAAAACTTCCAGAACTATGCTGAATAGCAGTGGTGAGAGTGGGCATCCCTTCTGGTACCAGATGTCAGTGGAAATGCTTCCAGCTTTTCCCCATTCAATAGGATGTGTTATTTTAGGCAGGATTCACCTATCATTAACAGTTCCCTTACATCTTTAATTTAAAATAAACATATTGTGTCAAAAGGATGGAGAGCAAATAGATGTTCGTGTACTTGTTGGAATCATTCCAGGAGTCTTGTTAAGATGTTCTCTTAAAATGCCCTGTGAGCAGTTTCCAAATACTCGTGACTTTTGTTGAATCAGCACAGGCTTTCCTTTTAGATGACTGACCATGTGTGAGATCTGTGAGAACTGAGTGAGTTAGAGCAGCAAGTGAGGACAGGCACCCAAGTGCAAGCTTTGTGGTATGTGGGTTGGCTGCAGGGTGATTGGCACCCAATTTCCCAAATGCTCAGTACATCCAATGTTCTTGGAGGGCACGGAGGAAAATCTTTGCTCCTGATCTTCTTCTTCTTCTTTTTTTTTTTTTTTTTGACAGGCAGAGTGGACAGTGAGAGAGAGAGACAGAGAGAAAGGTCTTCCTCTGCCGTTGGTTCACCCTCCAATGGCCGCCGCGGCCGGCGCGCTGCGGCCGGCGCACTGCGCTGATCTGATGGCAGGAGCCAGGAGCCAGGTGTTTTTCCTGGTCTCCCATGGGGTGCAGGGCCCAAGCACCTGGGCCATCCTCCACTGCACTCCCTGGCCACAGCAGAGAGCTGGCCTGGAAGAGGGGCAACCAGGACAGAATCCGGCACCCCAACTGGGACTAGAACCCGGTGTGCCGGCACTGCAAGGTGGAGGATTAGCCTAGTGAGCTGTGGCGCCAGCGCTCCTGATCTTAATCTCATCCTTGTTTCTTACTTGTCCTGGCTGGAAATGTCATGGTATTTCTTTGCACATGGATTTCCTTGTCCTTAGAGATTGACTTTGTGATTTCCATCTTTCTTCCATGCCTTGGCTTCTTCTCTGTTTTTTTTTTTTTTTTTTTTTTTTTTCAGGGCACGGCCGTGCTAACATCACTGACTTCTGTGCTACATGATAACCAAGAATTCCTGAAGCCAGACAAGTTTGACCCTGGCCACTTCCTGGATGCCAGCGGCAACTTTAAGAAAAGTGACTACTTCATGCCTTTCTCAACAGGTAACAGAAATTTATTTCCATATGATCCTGGGGGACAGGATACATTTTGGGGATCAATTGAAGTTAAGGTATTGTTTCCTCCTGAGCGGTAGATTTGCTTTTATACAGGATCAGGAGTCCCACTCCTACTGTCCACGTTCCTTCCTTTTTCATGACATTTCCTCATTATAGAGCCAGGTTAGTGGGAGTTTGGGGCTTCATGTTGTTGACCCAGTTCTCTCAAAGTGAAAAACCCCAGGATAGAGTAATTGAATTCTGCCTCTCTCTATACCTGGGCACACATGTGCTCCTCTTAGAACGTGGATCTCATTTAGACTTTCTTCAGTTATTGTAAGAATGTTATATGGGTAAATAACTTTGAGATTCTTCTGTGTATTGGTCTTTACTTTGAGCTATAAGAATGTCTGCTTTTTACAGGTTTATTTATTTATTTATTTGAAAGCAAAATGAAAGAGAGAGGAGAAGGGTAGAGAGAAAGAGAGGGAGAGAGGGAGAGAGAGAAAGAGAGAATGAGAGAGAGGTATATCTTCCATCTGCTGCTTCTCCAAATGGCCTCAATGGCCAGGGCTGAGCCAGGCTGAAACCAGTATCCTGGAACTCCATCAGGGTCTCCCACGTGGGTCCATGTATACAAGTCATTGAGCCATCTTCTACTGTTTTACCAGGTAATGTATCAGGGAACTGGATCAGAAGTGAAGCAGCTGGGAATCAAACCAGCACCCTTATGAGATGCTGGCATTGCTGGTTGAGGCTTACCCCGCTCCGCAACAATGTAGGCCTAGAGTTCTAGCTATTTAATTAGTAGCCCCGAGCACACAAAGTGCTCATAAGTGTCTTTCTTACAAATTAGGGAAGGAGGTGACTAGAGGATTGCAACACCATAGTCTAAGTGCTTTGAAAGGAAAGCACAGCTGGGCGCCGTGGCTCACTAGGCTAATCCTCCACCTTATGGTGCCGGCACACTGGGTTCTAGTCCTGGTCGGGGCGCCGGATTCTGTCCTGGTTGCCCCTCTTCCAGGCCAGCCCTCTGCTGTGGCCAGGGAGTGCAGTGGAGGATGGCCCAAGTGCTTGGGCCCTACACCCCATGGGAGACCAGGAGAAGCACCTGGCTCCTGCCATTGGATCAGCGCGATGCGCCGGCCGCAGCACGCCAGCCATGGCGGCCATTGGAGGGTGAACCAACGGCAAAGGAAGACCTTTCTCTCTGTCTCTCTCTCTCACTATCCACTCTGCCTGTCAAAAAAAAAAAAAAAAAAAAAAAAAAAAAAGGAAAGCACAGGTTAACAAGGAGGCTGAAGGGAAACTGTTTTCTGCTCACTGACATCCCATGGTTCTAATAGGAGAAGGGAAATTGAACTGCCTCAGAGGAGGCTTACAGAAAGGAAAGGAGAAAATCAGGACACCTACAGAGGAAATGCACCTCAGGAAGAGGACATTCCTGTGGATTGCTGAGGTCAGAACTGTCCAGAAAATTTAGGGACAGGGAAACCTTGGGAATGGGGAGGATACTCTGAAAGAATGCAGGGCACCTTCATCTTGCTACACTCAAGGTCGTTCACCTGGGATATTTGATCTCCACAGCGAAATTGTCTGAGCTGAGTCTCTACACCTGCAGTTTCCATTTTTTTCCTCTGTGTTTTTTCAGTGCTTTGGGTTTGGCATTGTAATGGCCTGTTAAGGTCTGAGCTCTTCTTTTAATGAACTCACATTTTATCTGTGTAGAAAAAAATAGAGAAAAATACTCAAAGTGATCCATGTTTCAGTGTATCAGGAATATGATGAGGAAACCCAGAGGAAGAACTTGGCTTTACAAACATTACATTCAGGAAGAGACATGAGACACAAGTTCCAAAGGAAGCAGCAGAAGGGAGTTTCTTAGATCCCTGGGTAGCATGGCATACAGTTTGAAACTCCATGGAGGACTGGAGATTGATTTAAAGCAGATATTCCATTGCTTAGTAGATGTGTAGAATGGAAGGAGTGATGTTGAGCATCAGACCATGAACAGATTGAGAAGGTCCATATCAAGCCACTTGGACCTCATTGTTGGGTACAAACATGAGAGCCATTTATGGATTTAAATTGAGAGTAACCAGTTTAGATATACGGTTTTGAAATTGTCCTGGGGAAAGAAAGTCCTTGGCTGAATCCTGCTCGAGTTTCAAAGGGCTTAAAACATGAGGGCGCTTTAAATTAATTGAACATAGACTTGAAATGTTCATTTTGATTGAAATTTTTGTTTTCCATGCACAAGAGTGGTCTTCAATAATTCCTTGCAAATGGGCAATATGGAAAATTTATGATAGACTTAACTTGGTTTTGAGTCCTAATAAACTTACCTTTTCATGCTATTTTATCACGAACTTTTTGAAGTACACTTGTATTTGATAGTCAGTCCCTCAACCCAACTACCTTTAACCCACTGCACAAGAAATGTGTGTTTCTTTTCTAAATTCAAAGTGTTTGTAATTTGTCAATAGTTAATGAAATGTTTGACACAGAGCTGATATTCAATACACATTTGTAGAGTGAGTGATGCCTGATATAATAAGATTTTCGTGGATAACAAGTGTTTATCCTTTATTCCACGTGTATGCCCAGCCATCCTCCCAGTCATCCTGTCTTTCATCCACCCATGCATCTACTCAGTCCCTGAGCAAGCAGGCACTGCATACTTCTTGAGGAAGTTTCACAACTCAATGTTTAGGTAAAGAATCCTCTGTGCTTGTTATTTTCAGGAAAGCGAGTGTGTATGGGAGAGGCCCTGGCCCGTATGGAGCTGTTTTTATTCCTGACTGCCATTTTGCAGAACTTTACCCTGAAGCCTCTGGTTGACCCCAAGGACATTGACACCACCCCACTTGTCAGTGGGCTAGGTCGTGTGCCACCCTTGTACCAGCTCAGCTTCATTCCTGCCTGAAGAAGGGCAGGCCACGTGGCTGCTGCTGAGCTGTCATCTGCAACTCCTCTCTTCCAGAGCCGCCTCCAACTCCTTTGCCTATCATGGGTCCCTCCCCTGTTGTATCCTCTGACATTTATTCATTTTCAAGGTCTAGCCTCCATTAGGAAACGTTTTCTGGATCCCTTCATAAATGTGTATCTGCCTTTCCTTACAGTGTGTAATTCTTGGATTAACCACCTCATGGGTTACTTCATGTCTAATGCTGAATTGCTATTATGTCATCACTGTGAAATTGAGCAAGATGATTGGCATTTGATAATTCAGACATGTTTCCCCTCTATATGTTCAAAATAAAAGCACTATTGAATGTTGAATCAGTTTTCAGATCTTCTTTCTTTTGTACCTAATGTGAATAACATATGAAAAAAAAATGAAGTTCCAAGAGGTCACGCTGGTCCTTATAAGGATAGGCACAAACACACACAGTATCATTTACATTGTACCTACAAATATGAAATGCTTGTGTTTGTGTCTGATAAAATGTGTATATGATCATTTGAAGAAAACTACAAAGCAGAGGAAACCAAAGATGATGTAAATAAATGGAGATATATTTCATCAGCATGAATATGATGTTATTATTGTTATGTTGTCTTTTGATTTGATCTATGGACATAATGTGATCTCAACCAAATAACAAGCATATTCCTTTTTAGATATCAACATCTGAATTTATAATTAATAAGAAGTAGTTAAAAACCCAGGATATGCAATTTTTAAGGAAAATAAGTCAAAGGGCTGACCTTGCTTCATCTGATTTCAAGACTCATTAGAAATGTATGGTAATCATGATAGCACCAACGTGGCTCACTAGGCTAATCCTCTGCTTGTGGCACCGGCACCCCCGGTTCTAGTCCCGGTCGTGGCGCCGGATTCTGTCCTGGTTGCTATTCTTCCAGTCCAGCTTTCTGTTGTGGCCCGGGAGTGCAGTGGAGGATGGCCCAAGTGCTTGGGCCCTGCACCAGCATGGGAGACCAGGAGAAGCACCTGGCTCCTTGCTTCAGATCAGTGCAGTGCGCTGGCCATAGCGCGTTGGCCGCAGCGGTCATTGGAGGGTGAACCAACGGCAAAGGAAGACCTTTCTCTCTTTCTCTCTCACTGTCCACTCTGCCTGTCAAAAAATAAATAAATAAAAAAATGAGAAAATGTCACTCCCCCTCTTCGTGGAGGAACGACACAGGACCCTGCATTGTTCTTTCGTCTGCTCGGCCCTCCCCGGGTTTGCTGCTGGTTCTTCCCGGGTTGGCTACCGACCCTTCCACCTCCGTGGAAGGGCGGTTCCCCCTGCCACATTCCCCACTTCCGTGGGGGAGCGGCACACCGCCGGCCGGCTCTCTCGGGGGCTGCACAGGTGTTCCTTCAGATAGATGTTCCCCTTAGATGTTCCTGGTGCATGTTGTCTCTCTCCTCCTTTATAGTCCTCTTCCACCAATCCCAACTCTGCTACCCACACGCCGAGTACGCTGCTCTCCTCCAATCAGGAGCAGGTCCTGCTGTTTATTGGTTGAACTGGAGGCAGCTGTGTAGAAGCTGCTTCTCCCTTCTCAGCGCCATATTGTGGGAGAGCAGATGCATAGAATAAGTCTTAATTCCAGTAACTTAGTCTAGTCCGAGTTGCTCCCCACAAGAAAATATGCATGGTAATCAAATCTGTGGGGTATTGGTGAAAGAACAGACAAATAAGTTAATGGAAACAGAGCAATACAAATATAGTCAACTAACTTTTGAATAGAAGCAAAGGCACCTCCATGGTGAAAGGACATCCTTTTCTCAAATGGTGCTTGAAACTGGACATTCTCATACAAAAGAAAAAAGAATATTCAAATTGGCCTTATATTCTTCACAAAGTTAGTTTAAAATACATCATAAAACTAAGTGTAAAATGTAAGTATAAAATTCTAATAACATTACATAGGAGAAAATCTTGATGATCTTGCTTTGGTAAAAGTTTCCTAAATAGAACAACAAAAGCATTATTCCTGAAAGGATGAACCGGTGCACTAATCTTCAATAAAATAAAAATTTTTATACTGCAAAGAATACTGTTAAAATAAAGAGAAGAAAAGCTACAGAGTGAGTGTGTGAAATATTTCTAAGTGGTGTATCTGATGAAGGACTGTTAATTCAAAATATACAAAGAACTCTTAAAACTCAACAGTGAGGGCCGGCGCTGTGGCTCAATAGGCTAATCCTCCACCTTGCGGCGCCGGCACACCGGGTTCTAGTCCCGGTTGGGGCGCCGGATTCTGTCCCGGTTGCCCCTCTTCCAGGCCAGCTCTCTGCTATGGCCAGGGAGTGCAGTGGAGGATGGCCCAGGTGCTTGGGCCCTGCACCCCATGGGAGACCAGGAAAAGCACCTGGCTCCTGGCTCCTGCCATCGGATCAGCGCGGTGCGCCGGCTGCAGCGGCGGCCATTGGAGGGTGAACCAATGGCAAAGGAAGACCTTTCTCTCTCTGTCTCTCTCTCTCACTGTCCACTCTGCCTGTCAAAAAAAAAAAAAAAAAACAACTCAACAGTGAGAAATGGACAATCTGCTTAAAAAATGGCCAAAAGTTTGATCATATACTCATTCAAGAAGGCAGATGCTAGCAGGGTTTGGAGAGTGCTGTACATCATAAATCATTAAGAAGCTGTAAACTAAAACAATAATGAGACAACACTAAACACATGCACAACAGTTCTAATCTAACACCCATCAAAGCAAATGTTGACAAGAATGTGGAACAACCGGGAGTATTCCTCATCATTAGTGTGCATGCAAAAGGGGCAAATATTTGGAAGACAGTTTGACATTTTCTTATAAGACTAAAGTATGCTTACCATGGCTTCCCAGATTTTTGTGCTCCCTTGTATTTATTCAAGTGAGTTGAAAACTTCTAGCTGCCTCCCAAGACCTGCACACAGGTGTTTATAGCAGCTTTATACATCATTTACAAGAGTTGGAAGCCACCAAGATGTCTCTCATTAGTTGAGTGGTTAGAAAAACTGTAGTGTATAAATAAAGTACAATATTATTTAAATGTAACTTAATGTTAAAAAGAAATAAATTACTAATCCATGAAACTATCTGGAAAAGCCTTATGGATATAGAAAGTGACTGAAGTCAGTATGCACAGGTTAAATACTATGATTTCCTACTGAAAAGAGGAGGAGAGCAGAGATAGTGACCTCTCAACATATAACATAATTTCCTTAAAGAGCAGCTGAGCTATTTTATCCAAAATAACTTGATGTGTTGTTTTTTTTTTTTAAATGAGTTTAAAACTGTGTATTAGGCAGAAGATGGCTTCTCTCTTGATTTTGTATGAAACATTAACAGAGACGGGGACTTACTCAAGTTCCAAAGTTTGTACCCCAAACTTTTTTATTTTGGTTTTATTAATATACTCTTTAATTATTAACTAAATTCGTGTTTATTTTGAAAGTCATTGATTAGGCTGAAAAACAAAATAGTGACTCATAGTACAGAATCAATAGATGTTGGTGAACCCAATTGATCTGAATGTTTCAGTTGGTCAAAGGGAGCGAGACATGGGACATGTGGGATCCAGACTGAGTTCTACCACCTCTAGTTTGTGTCTCCTAGTTTGGGGAACTGATTCTGTGAAACTCTGCTTCCTCCTCTATTAAGTGGAGATAATTTTACATTAGGCAATTGTGGTAGAATCCGAATGATATTATTATTATTATTATTATTATTTTATTATATGTGCAAATTGTCAGGACCTCTATAATCATGACCAATAAAACACTGGGTCTTGAAAGACTTAATTTTTTTACTCAAAGGGCTTAGAAATAACTGAACTAGTAAGTTGTAAGAATAGGATGATATCTTAAAATCTGTGTGCTTTGCATGAGCATTGTCCCAATCACTGGCTTAACCTGCTGCTGGCCCCACACCTGTGCTTCATGAAGGCAGTCGGTGGTGTTGACTCAGAGTAACTAATGTTTGGGGTTTGGTTTGTTTTGCTAACATGGTTGCCCAGGTAGCAGTGGCGTGAGCCATTGTATACTACATAGGACATCAGAAGATCTCACCTCCAATCTGTTTTTTCGTTCTATGTAAGCTCTGTGTCCCTGGCCAGATCTGTTCTCCAAAAGTCTATATTTCCAGCTAAAAATAAGATATAGTGATCCCCATTTTCTAGCATATTTTGCATGTAATAGTGAAAAGCATTCCCATTTATTTACCTCATAACTTGGCATATGGTTGGTTACTAAACTATGTTAACTATTTTATGTTTAGGCACCTGTAATGCTGGTAGATTGTACTGAGTGCTTGAAACGAATCTGCTCTCAAGACAAAATGTCCTAGATTTTGGAGTAGCACAAAACAGACATTAGTGCACATGTCATAGATTATTTTGATTTTCCTCAAAGTCAAAAATTACGAACTGCTCATTAAACTAATATGCTTGCATCAAACAATTTACTTTAGTTGTTCTCTGTCATGATTGCTAGAGGTTTTTAAGGGGATGGGTCTCCTCTTCCCACCTCTTCTCCTTCTCTTCTTCGAACAAAGGACTTTTTGGATGTAAATATGAAAAATTCCTTTCTGAGTTTTCCCCCTGAAGTTATCAGCCAGGAGGAAGCCTGGCTGGCCTAGCCCCAGTTAGAGGAAGGATGGTTATCCGGTAGAAGGGTAGGACCCCCTGGAAGGTCATCAGGATGCTGATTATCAGGATCTGGCAGAACGTTTGAAGTGCAGATACTGGGCTGTACCTGGAAGGTTATTGGGATGACTTTGGGATGACTTTGAGA